CAGCATGAGCTAACGGAGCATAAATCTTCATAACTTGAAGAGACAGCATTTGCTGTTGATACCTCGGCAAGTAATCTAAATGTCTCATCATATCAAGCTTAGTACCCAATTCCAAAATTACAGCACGAATATCATAATAAGTAAGACAAAACTTTCTCAATGCATAAGCACTATCATCATCCAAAACCTCAATTCTTGAAGGACTGTTTTTCATTCTCCAGCTTTCGTGTAACAAATGTGCCGTACCACTACCTATTTTATCCCTCACTTCACGAATTGTTATCGCACTAGTTTCAAACACTTGCATCAATATTCCCGCAGAAATTACTTCCGCATCCATCTAAGCCATTAAATTAAATTAATCAATCAATTTTCAAACAATAAAATAACTAATTTATTAATTCAGTAATTAATTATATTTTTTACCTGAAGATCGGCGAGGAGGAGAGCGAGAGACAAGGCTTTATTGAGAGGAGAGCGGTGATCAGGAGAGAGAGGTAAGTTCTGTAAAATAGGAATGGAAAGCTTTAGAGCTTTGAAGAGTATTCTAGAAGAGCTTGTTGAAAGCACATTCATTCTCTCCGTTAGCTCATTGAATGCTCCTACTAGCTCCACCACCATCTTCCCTCCCGCCTGCTCCAACGCTGTAGTCTCCGCCGTCGCTCTCAGTGATATCTTCCATCTCCGCTGTCTCCGTCTGCAACTCGGAGGACTAGATAAGCTTACAATTTCATGTGTTGGAGCTCTGCGAATTCTCTGGATTGGAAGGAGTTGAAGAGAAGTGAGCTCCATTTCCATGCGATACTGAGAGCCAGTGACTCCCTCTCTCTCTCTGCTCCACAATTTCTTCGGCGATAAAGTCGGTGATGACGTGGCAAAGTTTCAGTGGTTGCTCTTGTTTTAAAATTGGTTAAAGTATATGTTAGTCTGATAATTTAAATAAAATTCAAATTCGGTCCCTATAGTTAATTAGTTAATGAAATGTTTTCTTCGAATAAAGAAAAAGAAAAAAACAATAGTTGAATGATATATTTACTTACACTTTCTTTTAACTGCACTCCCTCTATTTAAGATGAAGTATTTTAATAAAAAATATAAATATAGGTGTTTATTTTACTAAAAAAAATTAATCATTTAGATGTGGAATGTATTTGTATTTTGTTGATATAAAAAAAATGTGTTTTAATTTTTTTTTAAAAGATATTAAATTGAATTAACATGTTTCAAATATTCTCAATTTTAAAATTATATTATATATATATATATATATATATATAATTTTCTTTTCATTATAAAGTTTTAAACATGATATATGTTATAATATTAAAAAATAATTATAAAATATAAACTTTAGATTTTTAAGGTTTGTTTGGTAATATTATCGGATGTAGTTGATATATATTTTGTTTTAATTATTAATTTTATATGAGTCATATTAAAAATTTAAAATTTAATTATAAAAAACTATAACCTATAATTTTTTTAATCATATATTTTCAAATCATAATTATAAAAATTATTATAATATCAAACACACATAAAATAAAACAAAATGGTTAAATTTCCCAAGAAACTATAATATCAATATTAAAAAGTCTTAATCACAGTGATCGAAGTGGCGTATTTCTTAATGTAGAGGGGCTAAAGTTATAGTATAGGAATAAAATTGTTGGGCTGCTTACCATACGGTGCCGTTTGTTTACCTCCTTCCCGATCCCAAAACCCTACACTACTACAGCGCCAAGCTCCTTAATCCCCATTTTCACTTCACTCTGCTTCAGGAAAAACGATTCTCTCATCTTCTTCTTCTTCTGCTTCTTTTGCTTCTTCCTCCTCGTCTTCTTCTTCTCCGCTGAAGAATATTTGATCTCTTTATAAAGTAAATATTAGCTAGAAATAGTAAAACATGCCGGCCTTATCGAGAGGCCTCATCTCTCGTCTCCATCAGATACTGTCACTCAATTCGAGAACTACACCGTCAGCTTCACCTCCAATAGCAACAACACAGTTGTACCTCTTGAGAAGATTTAGCAATGATGCTCTGGTTGATGGTTCTGAGATTCAGTACCAACAACCAAGCCGGATCATTGAAGCAAAACCGGGTGTAATGACCCCGAATTCAAAGCGAACCGGAGTGATTGCGGTCAAATGTGGAATGACTGCTCTTTGGGATAAATGGGGTGCTAGGATTCCCATTACTGTCTTATGGGTCGATGATAATATTGTCTCTCAAGTTAAAACTGTTGAAAAAGAAGGCTTTTTCGCTCTACAGGTACCATCATTTACTTAGGTTTTTATTTTTTGTTTTTGTTGTTGTTAATCGGAGTTGGTATGGGCTAAGTATTGTGATTATGGTGTGTGTTAGGTTGGTTGTGGGCAGAAGAAAGAGAAGCATTTGACGAAGCCGGAAGTGGGTCATTTTAGAGCTCAAGGTGTCCCCATGAAGAGGAAATTAAGGGAGTTTCCTGTTACTGAAAATGCTCTTCTTCCTGTTGGTACTTGCATTGGTGTTCGACATTTTGTTCCTGGTCAATTTGTTGACGTCGCTGGAATCACTATGGGCAAAGGTTTTCAGGTCTATTTCTATTTCTATTTCTCTTCTCAGCTTCTTTCTGCTTTCGGTTTTGGCTTATACATTTTCCCTTTTCTTCCTAGTTGGTTCTTGTTGAACCTGTTTAAGTTTGAAAATGAGTTTGCTAGATTCAGGAAGTGTGAAAGAAATTAACTAACGGTTTTCTTTGTGGTAGGGTGTCACTTGATTAACATGATTTAACTATGTAACTATATCGAAATGTTTTCAAGGTCAACGAGGAATGTTTCTCACCTTTTTTTTTTTTTTGCGCATTGCTATTATCTTAATAATAACCAACTTGCAAGGTTCAACGGCATTAGAATGAGCAGTGGCATCAGTTTCTTAGGTCTAAAGCTTATGGTTGTGATTATGTTTGTGGATGTATTCTGTCTTATGTTGTTTGTTTATTCCTACTTGTGATGAATTGTAGATAGTGTTATGAGAAAAATCCCTCTTCATAAGTTCCAGGAACTATCCTGTTAAAATTCTTGTTAATTCAGTGAGAAAGAAAATGTTTCAGATTTACTTGTCCTGTATATTTATTGTCGTATTTTCTATACAGGGTGGCATGAAAAGGCATGGGTTTAAAGGAGGGCCAGCAAGTCATGGTGCATCCTTATCACATCGAAGTATTGGTTCTACAGGTCAGAGGGATGCTCCCGGGAAGGTGTGTATCTCCTTGTTAGAGTGAACTAATGGGTGATTTGTCCGATCTACCATCATTTTAGACACATAAAGCTAGGTAATGGGCCAAGCTCCTCTGCTAGGACCTTTGGAAGTGTTCTTTCCAAGGGGTCGTCACTGGCTGACTGATTGAAGTATGGCACTACAGTGACATGCATTTTGCTTCAAGTGTTGGCTGGAACATTCCTGCCTGTGGAATATAATGCGTCCATTCTTAACATGTCTACTGTACAATTTATTTATTTTTGTCACCATTTGTTCTTAACTTCCTTAACGAGATGGAGATTGGTGATGCAGCTCAAATCAACTGAGTGGTAATTATAAACTAGCTAGGTTGGCTACTGAAACCTCTTCCTCTATGCTGTCCTGCCTAACCGTATTCTGAGAATGGCTTGGTCAATCTCACTTTACTTCTTTCATTTGATGATATAATTTTCAGAATCTGTTCAAGTATATCCCATGATTATGATTTCTTTGAGTATGTTACCACTTATTTTTGTTTTATGTTACGGTCCTTGGGTTGTAGGGATGACAAACTATTCTCTTCGTGACAGGTATTTAAAGGCAAAAAGATGCCTGGGCGCATGGGTGGAGTGCAGAGAACGGTTAAAAATGTTTGGGTCTACAAAATAGATCCTGCAAGGAATCTGATGTGGGTGAAAGGCCAAGTATGTTCTCTAACTAAATATATATTTTCCATTAAAAACAAAATGAAATCTGAATAGAAGGTTAAGGAGGCTATCCATGCCTGTTGAAAATGTACTTGCTGGTGGTCTTAGTGCGCTTTCTTTTGGATCATACACGTGTGTGGTGTTTAAGGATGCCAATTTGAAGTTTTGTTGAAGTGATGGTGAATACTATCTAGGCTTCATATTTGGAGAAACAAGGATGGAGTCCACCGTCATAATTTACTTTTCTCATTGTTTAGATGGGTGCCTAGGATAATTGGGTCCATGGTTAATTGCATTCCTATTCTTTTGTTCAGCAATGCTAATCACATGTTCTATAACGGAGCAAAATTTATGAAATATAGACACTGAAAATTTACTTTAGTCACGTTCTTCCGCTGCAATAACCTGGAAGTGGCGTGTTATGTCTCTCTTCTGTAACATTCTTTACAAAGATTTTAATTATTTTCAGGTCCCTGGCGCTGAAGGGAATTTTGTGTTCATAAAAGATTCTGTTTTCAAGAAACCTGATATTCAGATACTTCCATTCCCCACTTACTTTGAAACAGAAGATGATGATAATTCAGAACCTCTAGTTGCCGATCTTGGTGAAGTAGATCCATTTATGGTTGCAGATTAATTGATAGTAGCAGAAGCAGGTTTCCCCTTGTCAAGTTTAATTGCCTTGCAGTCACCATTTTTTGGTGAACACGTTTAAGCGTGATGGGCTTATTATGCTCAGAGCAATCAACGGAGGCTGTTAATGCAGTTCTTTATTTTTATTTTTTTGCCGAAGGACTGGAGGTGAAGGGCTTGTGATTTTGTCATCGAGAGGTTTAACACCTTTGTTTTTTTATCCTTTCAAGGGGATTTTGTCTCAAATAAATATAGGAACTTTTGGATGCCTGAAATGTTAGTTTAACATTCATTGTAAAACTGTTGCAGAGTCGGCAAGGCATCTTTCTCTGGCCTCTATGATATGACCTTCAATACTCTTACACTTCACCTTTGTCATATATTTCATACATCACACCAGATAAATGTCATATTCATGGAATAAAATTCACCTTGAAGATGTCTTGGTGATGAAATGGTTAACATCTAAGACTCCAAATCTCATGTTAAAAAGCGTGAAGGTTTGAGTCCTCATCAAGGCATAAAATTGAGAATTGCATAAAATTGAGAATGCTTATTGAATAAGCAATTCATTAAGAGATCTTGGATGGATGGAATTGGATCGAATTGATATTGATTTCATTTGAGATTTTAATTTTGGAATTGGAATAAGTTCATTGGTGGATCATGAAATTTTGGTGATTTTTTTTATCTAATAAATAGAGAATCTGCTCTGAAATTGTCCGTTCTAGAACTACCTATAAGTGTATGTCTTCAGTAGGAATTGTACAAGGATAGATTGACACAATAGAAACCTAGGTCTTCAATTAAAATTACATAAAGGTAAATTCATGCTATAGAAACCTCTGAAAAATGTTCATTATAACTTAATAGATAAAGTACACTACATTGTCTATTTTAGGAATGGATGACTTACCCATTCAATGATTTTGATACTGGATATTATGTTTCCAAAATAAAATGCATATTAACAAGTTAGAATTTAATAATAAATGTTTGTTGGCATTCTAGTCTTTCTTCTTTTTCTCCTCTCATAGCTTGTTCGAAAGAAAATCAAGAACTTTTTTGCAGTGAATATCTAAACATGATGAATCATCTCATAGATATCTTTCCTTCAAAAAAAAAAAATTGAATTAGGCCTACTCAAGTGAAATGTGTATATAATCCATATATAGAGATCTTTTAATTGAGGATATCCATCGATCTGAGATTAAGAGAATGATTTATTTATTTTATTCGGTTATTCAATTAAACTAACAATTCATTATTTGAGCAAATAGAAACAACCACTATTTATATTTTATAAAACTTGGGCTAAATTAGATCTCGGATCCTTATTCTTCATGTTGGGTAAAGTTGGTTTTTAAAATAGTGTTTTCAATTATCAACAAAATTTAAAAAATAAATTAAGTAAAAAGATATTCTAAATTCTTTATTATTAATTTATTAAATTTGACCCGAACTTGATGGAAGCTGATTTAATCAAATTAAGTTGATTTGATTGATTAATATATGACTCGATCAATAAATAAAATTAAATTTAAATATTTTTAAAAAGTAATATTATTTCAATTTAATTTTTTAAAAAAATATATTTTTAAAATTAACATGGATGAATATATCTAACACTTGACTTGTATCTTGGTCTAATTCGTGGATAAAACTAGGTTTTACTACTATGCTTTTTATTACTCACATAAAAATAATAAGTAACAATGAATAAGTCTAGGGTTACCGTTGAGATATCATTTCCAGCCCAATCCATCCATCGATGCAACATCATCTCCAATGAAGCAAGAACGAGACCACCAGTTCGAGTGCGGAATATGCGGGGCTGAAGACCGCTATCTCCTCCACAACGTCCGCCACCGTACCCCTTCCTACCGCCGCCTCTGCACTAACTGTCTCTTAAAAGACCACCGCGGTCTCTTTTGCCCTTTCTGCTTTATTGTCTATGAAGAATCACTCCAAAATGATCGATCCATGTGCAACAAATGCCCCTCTATCGCTCACAAACCTTGCATCCCTTCCAATTACCCTCACCACACTCCCTTCATCTGCCCCTCTTGCTCCTCCCCCAGTTTCTCCTTCTTTAACCCTACCAGAAACGGAGATTCTTCTTCCGGGAGGTTCATTGATAAGGACTCCGCCAGAGCGCTTGTTGCTGCCGCCAAGATTGCTGCCATTTCCATGACGAAAGCGGCCGCGCTGGCCAGGGTTGAAGCTGAGAAAAGGGTTAAGGAAGCTACTTTTTCTAAGAAGAGAGCTAGAGAAGCACTTGAAAGGCTTGCTTATTTGGCTGCTAAAGAGAATGTGATGATGAAGGATATTAAGGGAGGAGGAGGAGTTGCTGCTAATAAGGGGGGAAATAGTAATGGGGTTTATCTGGGTTATCCTCCTTCTCAGATAACAGGGCAGCAGCAACAACAACAAGGGACTCTGAAACGACGATCTGGGCTACCATGGTAAACGAGTGATGTACTTCTTCTGCTAATCTGTATTCTCAATCTATCATCATCATCGTTAATTGGCTATTGATTCTTGTAGAGATTCTAGAATAGGTTGTTTGTAGAGATGATTTTTGGACAAATTTATTATTGTCTCTGTTTTCTTTCTTTCTACATTTTCAATCATCTCTAATAAGTTTTCCTCCAATTATTTACAACTACTTGTTAATTCAAATTTAGAGGTTATCCCGCCCTTCAAACTGCTTTTGGCTTGAAAAGGCATTTTTATGCCTTTTCAAGCCAAAAGTAGCTTGAAACCGTGTAGACAAACGTGGCCTCGAGAATATAAGAAACTTGTTAATGATTTGCACTTCTTAGCGTTTTATTGAGATAACATTGAAAATTTAAGTAGAAGTTGGAGCTGAGTTTTTATGGTTTAGTGGCACTTGAAAATATAGGAAGCTATACAACACTTGGACGGGACAAACCGTGATGACAAGTGAAGAAAGGATATAACATTATCTTCTCATCGTCTTGTTTGATTGAATGGATGGAAATGCAGCTGTCTCTCTGTCTGCTTTCACCTCCAGTATCTGTTTTTATTATTATTTCTCCGTTATTTTATGCCTGCCATTCACTTCTTGGCAGATGATAACATTTGAGTTTCTGTTTACACTCTAATTGATTCGTCTTATGGCCGGAATCAGTTAAAGTTGTGTTTCTTCCTCCTCAGGGTAGCGTTCAGCTACAGATTGCAGTAACAACCTTCGAAGTTTTATCTGTTCTGATGAATGGAGTTGTGAATTCCTGCCAAAGGGAAAGGATAGAGAAGTGAGACTGAAACCAAAGAACATGAAGCTCCATTTTTTCTCAAATGAGAAAGACTGGATTTTCTGCAGAAATATATCTGCTGGGAGTTTATTTTTGCAGCCTTGCAAGCAAACGAGTTCCTGCATTGCAAACACCATAGTTTAATTGAAATCTACAAAGAAAGCCCTCCTAAGTCCTAGCACGGCGTATCCCGGAGCTCTTTTGTACATAGCCATCGGTTTGCTTTACAAATGAAAATGTTGTTGATGTTAATCTGATTCTTGTAGTCCCAACTCCAAATAGATTAAATCTGGTTTCTAAATCCAATTTATGCCATTTTATACTTTTCAACTTATAGTATATTTGAGGTAAATCAGAAAATATGCAATAAGCATGGTGCAAGAAAACCGGTTTGGGGGTAGGCACTTGGTTCCACCCCCAGTAATCTGGTAGAAATAAGCCCCTGTCCATCTCATCCTTCTATTAAGACCTTATTTTATAACCAGTAGCTATTTGACTTGCACTTTACCATAGTCAGATAAATTTTATTCTATAAAAAAAAATACAAATTTTTTTTAACATGTGTTTTTATTTTAAAAAAAATACTATAATCATAAATCAAAAGACCAAAACCAGTGGCGAATAAAAAAAAAAAATTCTACTGTTGCATAACGGTTTAGGTGATAATATGATAGTATTTTAAGTGGTAGCATTATCATATAAAATGAAATGATTTAAGACTTATCAAATAAATGTTACAATAACCATTATATGTAAATGTCAAGAAAAAGTTATAGCGATTGTTTTATGTATTAAAAACATATAGGAAGTGTTAATTTACATGTTGCCAAAAGATACAAAAAAAAAGATTTTTTTCATCTCGAAAGTACACTATATTTTGATTTTTGTAAAAAGAAGTAAACTTCAATTTGAATAATACCAGCAGAAATATATGAATCAATTAAATATCCAGAATAAGTCTATGGTAATCACATCAAATTAAAAAAAGCTAGAGGATAAGTATAACACAAGATGTAATGAAAATCTCTTCTTATGCATAGCTAATGCTATATAGCATTCTTCATCTTTATATTACAAATCACTACAAGCATCTAAAGACTATCTTTGAGCTATTAAAAGAAAACTAATTGGTAGCTAAGACAAGTGATGCTTTTGCAGTGAGCAAGTGGAGTATTTAGGCCACGTAATTTCCAAGCACGGGGTAGTCACTGATCCTCACAAGATACAAGCTATCATTGATTGGCTAGTACCTAAAGACATGAAGTAGTTAAGAGGATTCCTAGAATTGACTAGTTACTACATAAGATTTGTCAAAGGATATAGGGTCATTTGTGAGCCTGATACGAACCTCATGATTACATGGTCACATAACCCACACGCAAAGACACCAATTCCCGGAAAGCCAAGTAAATCAGGTTTGATAAGAGTTTAACACAAAGATAACTTGTACATAGGTACCAACACTATTATAAATGGAAACCCTTATCTAATAAATATTGATTCGCGAATGTGAAGTATATAGATGATGTCATAAAGTCAGTTGTTCTTTGATAAGTTATTTTTCAGTTCTTTAGAGAATCAAGGAAGGGAGATTATCCCATCAACACACAACAAGTGTGGCAAATAAGAAGTTTTAATAATTTGAATTGTCTAACTTATATATCTTGTTATGCCTTTATTTATATTGACTCTAAAATGAAACAAACCTTAATGGACCACTTATGTGGACTTATATGATACTTCCTTATAATTAAACCTAAATAATATAAATAAACCTTAAACTAAGAAGAAACAATAATAATAATTCTGAATGTAATATTCTAAATATTATAGGATCGGATTTGCTGCCCTTTAGAAGTTCTATATAAGCTAGGAGAATCAAATCTGAAGTTGTCTTCTCTTTAGTTTCCTAGTTTGCAAAGTATTCTTAGCTGTCTTGGAAATTTATTTAATGATAGATTCCTATTATAATAAGGATAGAATAATTGTTTCCATACACTATAACGATTCCACATTAACATGAAGTTCATACCACACATAGAAACTATGTTGTTACCCATTAAATATTCATACAAAACTAGAAAATTTTCAAAACTAGTTATTACATCCTTCTAGGAAATAAATCCTAGCCAAATAGAAAATTCACAAGTTAAAAGAAAGAATTTATACAGCCTTTGTTAACCAATATTATGATGCATTCTCAAACTCTGATTAACCTAAAAGTTTAACCCAAGGTAGAAAAA